GAACGACGATGACGACGACGAGACGACAGCGACGAGAAAGATAGGTGGATGAGAGTTCAAAACGAGGAAAACGAGAACGTTGCACGACGCTGCATTTGCTAGCAGAGACTAAAAGACGAGAGATAGAAAGAGAGAGAACGAGAGTTATGGAAGCGTCACAGAAGGATGAGAAAACCGCCCGCATGGAAAGAGGAAGAGAAAGAACAAGAGAAAAGGGCAGAAACGGAACGGTAGATATATATCCTCCTCCGTCGTCGCCGCTCCCGCTGCTTGTTCGTTGACCCATGGGATCCTCCCGGCCTGGTGGCTCTACGACAGACTCGCGCGACCCTGTTATTTGCATACGCTGACCTCCTTTACCGATTTCCATGGCCAAACAGAGGCTTCCCGCGGAAACAGAATCTCATTTTCATCCAACTTCTTTTGCGGTTTCAGTCTTCCCGCCAAGAAGCCGAGTACGACGTAGATGTCGACTTGAAAATTTTGCAGAAGACTTACAAAAAAACCTTCGCGTTTTTTATATTTAAAAAAATATCTGAAGTGAAAATTTTACAATTAAAATTGTACCACTATGTCCTAATATCTCTGCACTCGTTCCGAATATTTTTTTCAGATGAATCTTCGAGAAACGCATAAAATTTCTGCACTACCGTGGTTAAGTATTCGTTGGGAAAAAAAATTCAGAATAAACAAGCAATAATACACATGGTCCACTTACAAAATTTACGGCTTTTTAGAGCAGTAACTCGAACTAATAATTTCATCAGACTACCAGCATCATCAGCTTCTATTTAACTACGAAATGTGCGTGGCGGGACCGACGCGATTACGTTTTACGTACGAAGAGAAGAGAGAGAAGTCTCTCGTTCGGAATCAGGCCGAGTCGCCGGTGCACGCTCATTGTCCCGAGCATGAACAATGAGTTACCGGCGCCTTTATCGTCGCGGCGCCGCAAGACGCTCCGTAACGAGACGGCGCGATGGAAATACGAGATTGTCGCGTGCGTTTCTATCCCGCGTGTTGTGTGCGCCCGACATACACAGACAGACTGCCGTGTCCGCTCGCCATAGTCAGCTTTTTGGCAGTCGTGCGATACCTCATATTCCTCGTCGCCCCTTTGTCGCGGGGAAAATCGTCGTAAGCTGAATGCTCGCGACAATAAAGGACCCGTACGTACGTATGTACACGCGGTTAGAGACTCTATTGCCCCGCACAATGTACACGCAATGTACAGTGTACGTATATACGTACAGGTGTGTGTGTGTGGTGTATGTGTGTGTATTTGTGCGCGCGACGGTGGTGCTTTTATAAGCGCTTCTGTACACTTTCTCATTTCGCGCAGCGGGTGTCGAAGTAATAATCACGATATGCAATTAAGCGGTTTTTTATTTGTGATTTTCGATTTTAATTTGAAATGAATTGTCTTTGAAGTTGTTTTTTTTTTAAATAAAAATACAGAAAAAAACATCATTTAGATACACTCTACTTCACAAATTAAGCGAAAAATAATAGGTTTATTTGTCGCATTTAGTTCAATTATAGATTCTTAAAATTTTTTTTATTGTGTAATATTAGTCGAGTGATCTAAATTTTCGCTAATATTTTAACTAAAATAGTTCATTCTACTTCAGCGCACAATGTCGCACAATGACTGACGCACTAGTGAATTAATTAATACTTGAAAGTTCATAGTGAAAGTTTGTTCACTCCGAATCTCACATACGTACACACACCAATCGTCAAAACATTAAAGAAACATTTAACGCGCACATGTGCGCGCCGCCGCAATAATGATAGCAAGAAGCTCGATTTGGCGACGACTGAAAAAGGCTAAGGTCGAACGTCATTGCGGGATTTGTGACCATGTGTGTATATGTGTGTGTGACGACAGCGCCGCATTTTCCGCGATTATGCCGGCCTTATACGTGGCGAACGACGCCTTCGGCTACGGCTCATTTCACCGCATTAACACAACACGCGCGCCATACTTCGTGCAGCTGAGCGCGCGTTGATGCATCCCGTGGCCATGGAGAAGAGATGAGAGAGCGAGTAGCAGACCGGCTTGCCGGTAAGCTCTGGACGAACGCCAGGACTCGTCCGGGACGTGTCCAGACGCCGAGAGCGACTTGCTAATGCCGGGACCTGGAGCGCGCCGCGCGAAATGAACGTATGCATATGCAGCGCGGTGCACACCGTTGAGAAAATGCAGCGCACTCACGGAACTGCTAATCGAGAGCTCGCCCAACTCTCAGCGGAAGGTTCAACAAATGTGGCATACGTAAAGAGCCTACGTAAAATTTATTGCCGAAGGTAACAAGTGTCGTTCTCGATATCGTGCGCTATACGCGATGCAACACATATACACTGTGTAGTAAAAAATAAAAACCGAAGATAATTTTCTCTCTCGATAAATATCGATGTGATTTTATATAGCCGGTATATAATATATATATATATATATATATATATATATATATATATATATATGTATAGAATACAGTTCTCTTTAGAGAATTGACTCTTACGTAAGATGTAAGAAATGTGTTGTACAAAAAAGAGTACACGGAAAAGTTTTCGAGAAAAGAAAGATATACACATCGATGATACAAACAGGAAAAGTCTCTTGGCAAAATATTATCCGAGGCATTTTGAAGGAAAGAGATTTTTTACTGTGCGTGTCTTTTTATTTTAAATTATCTGATTTTTAAATTGTATTTAAAAATCAGAGAATTTTCAACTACACGCGCGCGAGACTAATTATTTTAATATTAAATTGAGATTAAGTAATCATATCGCGTAGCGGATAATTACTTTTTATGTATACCACGTAATAATAATGACTTTTGGAATAATGACACAATTTTGTATACTAAAATTGAGAAGATAATATAACTGATGCGAAAAGTGTAGCATGTAAAAATATACAAAACAGTAACGGAGATTCTTTATATTCAAAATTTATCACAATAAAATTTATCATAATAAAATAACACTCATCGGAACATTGTTGAGCTGATGTTGATGATTCAAAGAATTTAGAGAATCTGTAAATAAAAATCATAAAAATTTAGAAAATAATTTTGCCACGTATAACTGTAGATCTGTGTAGCATTCCAGATATTTCAAACAAAATTATAAAAATATCATTTAATTTAAGATGCATTGAAAAAGTGTATGAGAGAGAGAGAGAGAGAGTTTATAAAATCACGATTACCGTAACACGGCAAATAAATTGATAATCATAATGCAAAAATATTATACATGAATATTACTCATTATCCTCTAATATCACTAACTGCTGTTCTATCAGTACAGACTCACTTGCTCGTGGGATACTGATACGAACCGAAGGGAAAAACGCGACTAATTAAGGACGCGCACATCAATTAAATACAATACAATTCGATCATCGCGGCACTTGATCATTTGGCACTCCTGACGCGCATTAACACGCGCGTTTACCTTTTACCGAATAAAAGATACATCGTAATTCTATCACATCAATGAAGTACGAATATTATAAAGTCAGAAACCTATGACCTCTCTCACATATGTCTGGACTCCGATTACATACATTTTTTAAATTGTGATATATTATTTTTAAAAATCTACGGAAAAACTATGATATTAATATAAAAATATATAATATATTAATTTGTATATACGCATCTTTATAAATTATTTAGTGCATTTGATAATTTTAATAATATAACTTATAGCTATATTGTGTGCGCGAGAGATACGCGCATTTCGACATACTTTATGCACTTCACTTGACATACTCTCGATACACATTGGAATGTTAAGTATTACGTATTTATACAACTACATACTTATATGCAATCGCCATGAATATAATCGAGAACTGTGTATATCGATTTTCACGATATGGATATTTATAATTTTTAATTTATATAAGACTGGACGTTTTGTTTAATACTACTGATTGCGAGTCCGTAAACTTATTCTATGTAAATACGCTTATCTTCAACAAAAAACATGTACGGTAATGACGAGCCAGTGTCATGGTGACTCAAACGCGATACATTATGACCTTCACAAAATGCTTGCGCGACAACAAGCTATTGATATATATATATATATATCATACATGTAAACAAAATAACATTGTTATTTACCAAACGTTTCAGTCTTTTTCAAATCTTTATCTAAAAATGAAATACTAAATTTTGAATAATTCGTATAAGTTTTTATTATAATTACAAGAAGATGTATATTGATATATATATGATATGTTTTTATTTATATGTACATTTTTTTACCACTATCAAAACTTATACTTATTTTTCTCTCTCTCCACACACACACGTATATCATTTTAGAGAAATATTCTTCAAAAACTAGTATGCGTTGTAGGTAGTGTCATCTAGTGCTGTTTGCAATTGATACCTATAACATGTCGATATAGTACATTTTTGCATTTCATACTTTTTACCAACAAACGATATATCATGTTCATATTACTTGTCGATTTTACATCAGCAAATGATGATGTAAAAGGAGATGATACCTGACTACACTCCATGATGAATTCTGATGCTGCTCGCTAAAATAATATTCTTTTCTTGACTATCACATCTTTTCTTGTATATCACATTTATGTTGTATAGAAAGTTGCAATGTTTTTTCTTATTCTTTTCCGTTCTCTTTTCTCATCTTTTTATCACGAGATCGGTTATTTTAAATTCCAAAAGAAATCAAATCTACGCTCGCGAATACTCTCACACGCCTGAAGAAGGTGACCATTTGAACTCGTGCATAAAATAGAACCGCACGTTGTGGACATAGCGTACCGACATGTCGCTTGTGGACATGGCTGCGTAGTTCCAATGTGCACCACTTGTACCGACATGTGCTCGTGGACATGCGCTAATTTACGGGGCGGAAAAATAATTACACATTTGCTTATGGGCCTGGCCGCTCTCTGATAGAAGGTTTACGGTTGGATATAGCGTACGCAAAAGTTGGATTGCATCAGCCGTATCGGTTGGATGTGCGTAGTTACGCTGTGAATATTTTTGGATCAATTGTCGGTGTTTTACACTTTCTTTATTATTATCTTTAATTTAAACAAATATACAACTCCGTGGCTTGGCGTCAGGAATCCAATCCACGGTTTTAAACCTGTACGCTACCGCTACGCTACGCGCTCTTCATTGGTTTTAAACCTGTTATCAAAATAGAATGGCGTATATAGATTAGCTTTATAGGTCCACTGAGCCAAAAGAGCACCAAACCAAACCAAACCGATATAGCGTACGCACCGACAAATTGTGGAGATGGCTACGTAGTTGCTAATGTGCACCATTCGTGAACATAGCGCTGGCGTACAAGGCGAAAATATTTAGTTTTTCTTATGGTCTTGGTTCTCAATTTTCTCTTTACTGATATATGCAGTCGAAGAAGAATACTTAACCTAACCTGTTCTGTGCAACGTACATATCGACACGTGCGTATCTGAAAATGTCAACACGGTTGGTGCTCAAGAAGAATAACACTCGTTAAAACAACAACAACAAAGCTCTAAAATGTCGCAAATAACCGACGCAAAAGAAGTGATTTTAACAAGTGACGCTCTAGGAGAAAATTGGAGCGCTGCGGTGTGGGATCCACGAAACGGTTCTCAGTTGTCTGTCTTCAAGACTACAGCCGCTCTCGGTCATCGTACTCTTCATCTACTAAGCGATAGCTACTTGTTAGGCGCCGATGTTGCTGCGCCTCGTATACACATCTGGCCATTGAATAATCCGTCACCTTTGTCCAACGTTCGACTGATTACACCGGGCAAGATAAACGCTCTTACATGCACACCAAGTGGATCGTACATTATAGCCGCGGTGGGTGAAAAGATATTCATCTGGCAGACCTGCAACGGTAGATTGCTGGCCAATTTAAGCAAGCACTATCAAACTGTCACGTGTCTGGCTACAACAAAAGACGGTTCGCTCTTCGCCAGTGCTGGTGAAGACGGCCTAGTATTTGTGTGGTCGCTCTACAGCATTCTCAACGAGGAGGAACATCGTGCTATTCACAATTTTTCTAATCACAGTCTACCAGTCAGGGATCTGTTTTTCGGCTATGGCGGCATTCGTGCGAGATTGTATACGATTTCGCTAGACCGTACAACAAACATTTACGAACTCGGTACCGGAGCTCTGTTGCTTTCACTGGTGTTTGACGTGCCGCTTACCGCGGTCACTGTAAACATCCGCGAAAGCGAACTCTTTGTCGGTTCCACGACTGGTGATATATTTCAATGCAATTTGCATGAACCGCCACGCGGAGTCGAGCACCACGTGAAAATAAGCTCGAACGGCGAGAACGAAGACGCCGTGTTTCGAGCTCACAAGTCGGACGTAACAGCTCTGTCGGTATCAGTGGACTGCAGAACTTTGTTATCCGCGTCTACCGACAAGTCGGTTCATGTTTGGGATATTGCGAGCCGACAGGTGCTCAGAACGATCGAACACAAGGGTCCGGTAACCGCTGCATTTTTCGCGAAAGGATTTGAAAACTTTCGCGCTTTCACACTTAAACCGCGTCTGGAAGTGCGCAGTCTGCAGAGGACGTCGGACATTGATGGTAGAGAGAGCCTCGTAGAAATCATCTCTAGAGGACGAAATTCAACAGATATTTTAGACTTCGAGTCTTATGTGGAGAGTGAAACGGGCTCACAAAGATCTCAAAAGATATCGAATAAAGAAGACGACATGAGAGAAGAAATCGACAGGTTGAAGAAGATCAATACCGCTCTGTATCAATATAGCGTTACACGTGTTATAAACAAAATAAAAAATACATAAATGCTGATACTTAAAAATATGACTTTTATTATGAAGAATATTCTATACCTTTTTTTTGCTTCCTCTTTCTTTTTCCTCTCTCTCTCTCTCTCTCTCTCACTATAGAAATAAATTCGTCTGACACGCACGTGCGTGTGTGCGTACGCATATGTCTGCTTGGTTTATTTTTACTTGTACATATATCTACTTACTGGACTACACGTGTAGTATGTACAATTAATTAAATAGCGATCTTGCGCACTAAACGTTAAATACCGTCTTCATTGACGCTCTTTTATATTCAAATTAGCCGGCATATGCATATAAATGAAACGCTCGCTGTATCGTAAACGTTTCTGTCGTAGACAAGTTAATCGTACGTATATTGTCTCTACAAGCGAATCAATTAAATGGTGTAATTTACCTAATTTTTATATGTCTACGTTGAATCCACAAATTTTTTTGAGGAGGAGGGTGAAATGTGTCAGGAAATTGTCACGCACACAGTAATGCGTTATAATCTGTCACACGATAATCCCATCACGTGTAATATAAATCTATTTACCCTGTATCATCGTGATATAGCCTCATTTTACACCTACATATCGTCCGAATTACTGTAATACCCGATAATTGATGCTACATGCGTCGTTTCTTGTTGATACATATCAAATTGCGTCAAAAAATTGTGTTTTTTTGTTTTTTACAAGTAAAATTTTTAACAGATTGCAACATATAAAAGCCGACACTAACAATTAATAATAATTTCCTGAGTAATACATGTAATGTTACCTCCACATAGGTATGTAAAAAATTTATATAATTTTTATATAGAAAAATCTAAACAAAAAAACCAAAAACATTGGATTTAAACACAATAGCTATACACATAACACTATAGTCAAATAAGCCATATTCATGATAATGCTCGCTATAAATTCCGCCATATTAAAATATTTACAACTTTGTTAATTGTTATTGGATATAAATAAAACTTGACATACATATTCTGACATACATAGATCTGATATTTTGAAACAATGCAAAAAAATCTTCCTTTCAAATGTTGACAATTATTTAGTTTTTGGACCAAACACAATTATGTTTAAAAAATTATATTTAAAAATTTATAATAAAAGAGATATTACAACCGCGAAATATTTGAAGAAAAGTTCTAGGTTTGTTCTGTATTTTATATATCTTCTTCATCTGTCTACTACATGTTTTGAAGAATATATAAAATTATATAAGATTAACATTTACCTTAGAAAATACAGAATAATTTTCTGATACAAATAATGAAAAATTCATCGTACAAATTTTAAGTAAGATGATCCCGACAAGGGAATTCAAGTAAAAGAGAGTAAGAGGAGGGAGAAAGCAAGAGGGTTGCGGGAGGAGAATAGAGGTATAAAATCCCTACGTCAAGCAACAAGAGGCACATTCAGTGTCAGTGCGATTCTAAGCTACACAACATCGATACTTTTAATCATCGTTGTTAAAATGCAGAACAACCGATTTCTCATCTTCGTAATCTTTCTAATATTTTCTACCTCATTCAATTGTAAGTTACTATTTTGATCTTTAGATTATTAAACATTTCCTGATTTTTAAAATCAAATTTTATGTAATTTCAAGTTTTTAAATATCTGAACTATATATAAAGTCGTATAAATAGGTCAGCATAAAATTATTTTATTTTTATACGTAAAAAGAGATTGTCAATATTATAAAAAATATACATATAAAATATACACGAACAAAATACACAAGTGACAATAAAAACATCTAATCTAATATTTAAAAAGTTACGTTTTTTTTCGGTTCGTGTTAGTTAATTTATTCCCACGGAAACTAAGCTCGGACGCGATACTTTTCACCGCAAAATAAAAATGAAATAGGGTGGGGAATAAAGTGCAGAAAAGCCAGCGGCGCGGGAAAAAAGTATTACACTAGATTCCCACAGGAAATTGTTTAGTGTCGCGAGTGCTAGTGTAAAAATTAAATCATTAGGGATTATGACATCCGACTTTTTTTTACCAGAAAAACGTCGACGACATCTTATTTATTTTTCAGTCGCCAGATGCTCAGTCCGCCAGTACTTCGAATCTGCCAGAGGCAAGAAGTTTAACTGAGTATCACATATTTTCATAACTTTTGTGTCATGTTTTATATGCATCTAAATTGTAGTTTTTGTGCATCCCAGATGAAGGACACAATCAATAATTTATTAAGTTTATATATTGTTTATGATTTAATCTTGATATTATTTTCTTTGTGATGAACAATCAATTTGAAACTTCGTATCTGTTACTATTTATATGTCTGTTGCAATCTCGTGAATTCAGAACTATACCTCAGAGGAAGTTCTGAACTAATCAGAGATTGTGTATGATAGATATCTGGCATGGATGTTAGACATTTACAAAAAATGTATTCAATACAATCTCACGAAAAGTTTTCTGTTATAATAAGATAATCTCATGTTACTTTTTGCAGAAAATTTTGCGATTATTTTAACAATTAAAAATATTTATAGCAAACTAATGAGAAAAATGTTTAACAAAACTATAAAAAGAGAATTTCAATGCAATGTGACATTTTCAAGAAAAACACACGCGCATATAAAACTCGGAATAAATTTAAAAAGATGGCATTTTAAATTTTAATTTGATTGTCACTTTACTTGATGCGTTTTATAGGGGGTTTACAGTTAAAAGTCAATGACAGACGACCTGCTTCTGCTAGAGGTCTCATTTCATTTCCTAGGATTGGTCGAAGTAATTCGGAAATGATGATCTTTCCTCGATCGGAGCGTTCTTTTGGATTAATACTTAAGCCTCGAAACGGACGGTCAGATCCATCGAGGAACTTTGGTCATTTGAATCAAAATCACCATTCAATACCCGATATCGACATCAATTTCTATGCTCTTCCCAACCAAGATTTTGTCACTTCTTCCGATCACGATTATGAAGGTATGTATAAATATCTTATACAATAATTGAAAGAGATTAACAATACAATTTGCAATTTGCTGCAAAAATTTTTTAACCTTAGACCGTTATGCAGCAATGTTTAATACATCGCATATCGACACTGTGTGGCGCTGTTATTAATTAAAACAATTTATATTGAATTGGATAAAATCTATGAGAAAATATGTACAGGCTCGAATATATTTGTTTCTGTGAAACAATGCAGTATTATGTGGCATGTGTTTGCAGTTTTTAACGAGTTATATGCCAAATCGTGTTTTTATTATTCCCTTCAAAACTTCACTTGTCGTACTGGAACAAAAAATGCTTGCATTGAAAAATGTGTACATATATATTTTTCTCTACGAGTATTCAGATTTTTGTTATTCTGTTCTATTATGTAGAGTACGTGAACGGGCCGTTAGCATTTAAATATGCTGACAAAATACAAAAGGACGCTTCTTGGTTAATGGCTGATCCCGTGCACAAAGATTTTCGCTTTACGCACAGAACTGACGATCCGGAAATTTATTACTCTAATTTGCAAGGTATGAATAAAAAAATATCATACGTATATTTCGTGTTTTTACTAAATTTGTAACTAAAACTTTGTCAAATATATTACAAGATTGTTATTAATTACTAGACTTTTAATAAGAAATATTAATAAAAATAGCTTGATTTTATTTTAATAATATAAGAATGCATTGTGTTATGATATTGTTATGAAAGAAAACTAACGTAAATTCTACAATAAACTCAACGTGTTTGTGAGTTTTAGAAATTGATATTGTTGTTGAATTAAATTTTAGATTAATGTGTGGCGTTTAGAAAAAGAAAAAAATTTAAATTGTCATAGACAATACCTGTCATACCTATTCCTCTGTTTTGACGTAATATTTATTATTGTCTGTCTTTAGATGAATCATTTAGAAAAATGAGTTATGTAGGCGTCGCGACTTCAACAATCTTTAAATCAAAATAATTTCAGAGTCTCTACAGAGACAGATTTTTCCGTAAAATAATTTATTTTCAGATTCTCGAAATATTCAAGAACAAGAAGAATACTCTCCAAGATTAGGCCTCGAGAATGAACATGGCGCTGTGAATTATCCCTGATTTATTCCGTTTGGATCATGGTTACTTCGTGGAACAATGACTGAAGAGAAAGAGAAAGACAAAAAAAGTGTACAAAAACGCTGTTAAAATCATTCTAGAAATCTAATTTGATTATTTAATTGCTTCTCGAGTTGCATTATTGATAAACATTATTCTTGCATTTTACATACAAGTTATAAAACACAATACATAATCTGCACTGAAATATATGGTCTCTTGAATAAAAATATATAAAATAAACATATATAATCACTATATATGCAATCTCTTAAATGCATTTTTCCCTTTTGTGTCGCCACAAATAAATAAATCATATTTTAATGAAATAATATGATTTGACCTTAATGTACAGTTTTACTGAGAAAAAACTACTTGACCGAAAAACTGTAATGTCGTTTTATTGCATAAAACAAAATCAAAAGAGGTTTGTCGTGTGATTTATATCACACATACTTTTGCTATATAATATGTATTTCCGTAGATTAAACTAAAACTGATTTGATGACGTATATTATTCATTTGTGTGCAAATAAAAATTCTATATAAATTCTTAATAATAATTAAAATACATGATACTTTTTTTAATTCACGATGCAGAAAGCAATAACCAATTAGGTAAAATCTTGCAGAAAGAAAATCAATCTACATAGTTTTATTTTATTTTTAGCGTATAAATTGAGTACAGAAAACAATACCATGTTGTTCCAATTTTTTTTTAATAATTCCGTGTTGACTTGACTGGACGCACGTGAACTGTGATTTATAGTCAATTAATATACAATCCAACTCGATGAAAATGTAATGCAATATCGCACATTATTTTTCTCACGAACTGCACAGTGAATGCAAGAAGATGATACACAACAATGACTCGATATATGTAAAATTCAATGATTTTATTAATTGACAAAGTGTTCATAATAATAATGAATATATCCATGTGTAACGCACCGGCGTGCACGCAAGTTTGCAACGTCCAGGTAGCGCGCGGAAAATGTGTAATGTAATAACAAATATTTACACACGTAGAGATTATGTAACAAACTAGTGATATACTGTCGAGAATGAATGGGAGGAAGATAATGAGACGCGGCGCTCGCTCACGCTAGTCAAAAGGTCCATCGTCTGAAGAAATAGTCGTTAATTATGTACAAATGTCATCTCGCTTCGTATTATTTAGCAGACTAGAAGAGACTTAAATTTAAAAATTTTTCACGCATCTCTCCGTCCACTCACACGTACTCACTGGTAGGCGCAAGCGGCCGCTTTCAGCCGGTGTCGGCTGGAAAACGGGCAAGGCAGGCAGACAAGCATAGACAGACAGATATTCAATAGGTCGGACAATCATGGCCGATACCGGCTCTCTCGATCAAATGCTCCGTATACTAATCTCGGTGATATATCGGCGAGATATCGATTTTCACTTTGGTCCTTTCCCCGCATGCATGTTTCGCTGTGTACGCGTTACATGGAAGGACGACGTCAACTTCAACTGCACCCGTGGGAAATCTCTAATCACGACTATACTTGGGCCGTTTCCTCGCGAGGTGTCCGGCTATCCATTCATGATTACCTATTCATGCGAACTATTCATCAAAAATGAACATTGACACATACTAATCATTTCCCGTTGATTGTTTAAACACTCGCGATATTAATGTTTTCTCTTGACAGACCTCCGAAAAAGGATCTGTCTAAATGTGTGGTACACACTCATCTTCTGTTTTTTTTTTTTTTCCCCTAAACACAATATAAAAGTTCAAAAAAGATACTTATAAATTTAAAAAGGCCTTTTTTATGATATCGTTTTTTTAGACACACACTCTTTATGATAACACATAGAGACGTCAGAATTGCCTATTTTTAATATTTGATCGTTCCGCAAATTATTAGCCTTATATCAAGTATACACGATGACACATCATGAAGATTTACTACGCAAATAGACGACGATAATTGAGGGTTAATAATGAATCCTTTTAATTTTCTGAGAGATTATGTGTGTATTTACGTGATAATTAATATCTTTATAAATAAACGCTATTTAAAAATTTTGATTTCACAAATGGCAGTTGCGTGATCAATACTCTGAGTCCTACAACAAAGTTCTTTAAAGATCCAACATAAATGCTGGACTGAAAGTTTGTTGATACAATCAATGTGATTTATATCAAGTTTCGTGTCACTAGTGTGTGATGCGAAATGATTCATTCTTCGGAACTCCACCGAGGAACATATACGGATTACTCGTTCGAAAGGCGTTTACATGTATTCTCGCAGAGTTAGTCCTTGAGCGATGCCTGACGCGGTCAATATTATCGCGCGATAATTGTTGACGCACAGCAATATCCGGCCAATAATGAACACTCCGCAGTGTATCAGAGAAACGTTATTAGCGGAATATTACCGATTGTGAGAATAGTGTGTACGATAATACAGATCGACATGCAGGTGGTCGCTGCCTTAGAGAGAAACAAACTCGTGAGGTGGTTGAATGATTCGTGGCGGGGGAGGTGGCGACAATCGCAGATCCATGTCCGTCAGCGAGAACGCGGAACTGCCATTCGCTGTGATGCGCGGCCCCATATTATCGTAGGGTGAGCCGGTTGCGATCTCGGTGGAGCGTAATGCTCGACGCGGTAGCGTGGCGAAGCTGGAAACGTTGACGGCTGATGCTGGCGGCAAGACCGCAACTTTGGTGCCGGTCGAGACAGTGGCCGCGGTGCCGCTGACTGCGTGGACGGGGATATCGAGAAGATCCGGATAACAGCGTTCCGACGATGTGTCTTGTGGCAGCGAAACGGAGATAAAAATGTTGCCGAAGATGCCAGCCGGTAGTACGCCAGTCGTGAACTCCGGTGGAGGAGGCGGAAACACGCCGGCGGTAGCGCACGGAACCGCACGAATAGCATTCACTGTGCTCTCCGCGGGTCGCAGTCGCTCCACGGTAACGGCGGCCGCGGCCATGGGATCACAAATGGAACCGCGCTCGGCCAGTTCCAGATCGCCGGTACTGCACGCCTCACCAAGACTGCCGTGACCGCTGCCGCGGTCGTTACTGTTGCCAGGAGTCGTGGTGGTTGTCACGGATAGATCTAGCAGCTTCTTTTCTTGGTCGCCGAAACTGCTACTGCTTTGCAGTTTTACCTTCTCGCGTTTTCTCTGCCGTCGACTTCCACCGCACAAGAGGATCAGCAGAACGGCCGAGATGGAAACGCACGCGGCCACCGCGCCGCCTCCTGCTAGACTTACCCAGAGCAGCCAGTTGTCGCTCTGGGAGAGAGTAGGAGCCGTGTAGACGCGAGGTATCGCCACGTTTACTGTGCTCCGTGCCTGACCGGCGATGTTCTTCGCGAAACACGCGTATTCGCCGGCATCGCTGTCGCTGACGTTATAAACGGTCAGGTTGCTCCATCGGTCAGCGACGGTTATGGACGATACGGGTTTATCGTTGTAAGATGTGCCGATCTCAGATGTTGCATAAACGACAAGAGTTCCCGTATAAGGTTGATCGGTCAATTTGGTAGCATTAACCGATCCGCCGTTCAACTGCCACCAGACTTCCGGCTCGGGATCGCCGGTCGCCAAACACGCTAAGCTGATGTTACCGTTGGTCTCCTCCTGTAAACTGCTTGCCAGAATGGATACTTCTGGCTCGCAAGCAAATTCGACAGGCTTCACGTCTTCCCACCGGCGATCTTGCAATCTTGGTGGACCTGAACAGGTTTGTGGCGCAGAGTACAGTTTACTGGGTGCGTTGGGAATCAACCACGTGCGAAAGCTTCGCAATCTGCAGTCGCATCTCCATTGGTTACCGTCTAACGTTAAGGTTTTTAATCGTGGCAAATTAGATATCACCGAGGTCTCTAAGTATTCCAAATAGTTGCTGTCCAGCTTCAAAGACTCCAAGCCACTCAGCCGAGCGAAGGCTTGACCGTGTATCTCGGTCAAAGAACATCGCTCCAACTCCAAAGTCCGCAGGTGCTGTAGTACAGGAAACTGCAGATTAACCAGAACACCGAGTGGATTGCCGCTGAGTATCAAAACGCGCAACCGTTCGTTTCCAAGAAACGTATCTGGCTCCAAAGATGTCACGTGATTGTCCGATAAATCGATCTCGATGAGTATTCTCATATCTTTAAAAGAATCCGGATGAATCTTGTGAATGCCGGCGTTGCGCAGGAAAACCCGCTGGAGATTCACCAGACCGGCCTTAGAGAATGTCTCCTCTTTCAGTTCGGGTATTTTATTGCCGGAGAGATCAAGCAATTGCATGTCCGGATCGAGAGACGGCGGCAGCGACGTTAAGCCGGCGTCCGGACACAAAGCTGACTTCTTGCCAGAGGTCCACTTGCATCGGCACACCGCGGGACAGTCGGTCCAATCCGGAAAAGCGCGCGCCCGTGACAGCAAAGCGAAACACCCCATGAGGAGAAAAAGGGCGAGTAGTATGCGCCCTCCTAGAGGGTGAGGCCTTGTCACGAACATAACACCGTCCTTTTATCGGTGTCTACCCGATGTCTGCTAATCCCGTGCAATCCTCTTCTCGCCTCGAGGCGAGAAACAGGAAGTTGGTTCCACCGCAACAGAGCGTCGACTTTATACCTCTCCGTTTCACTGGCGAGCTGCGAAACAAAGGCCTCGCGTCAGCATCTCCTAATCGATTGTTTGTGTACTCGATACTTTGTGGTCGTCGCGGCGACCCAGCGAAGATTCGCGCTCATGTCGCGATGGATTTATCGTTTGAGGTAACTTCGAAAGAAAGAAGTCGAGTGCGAACTACTATCGCTACCCAGAAAATAGGAATTTAATATAGGCGGAAGAATCCGTGTGTGTATGTGTGTGTGTGTGTGTGTGTGCGGAACGTCGGCATACAAAAGATGTCGAGCATAAAAGAAGAAATATTACATTGTTAGAATAACAAATAGCTCGCGACAGACTAGACGTTTCGAGCCAAGAGAAGCTAATGCGAAACGATCGATCATCACGTACTGTGTACTTTTTATTTCAGGCGGGTCTACATTAAGCGTATGTTTTCGTAAGAAAATTTGCAATCTTTGAAAACAAGTTCGCGAAAAGTGAAATAAACAGTAACGACAATGCGCGTGGGAACATTTGACGTATAATATAAAAGAAAGGAAACAGTATCCTTTCTGCGAGAGTGGAGTTTTTTTTTTATTCTTACACGAGCGTCTCGTTCGTGGTTGCCTAAGCGTGCCGTCTGCGACGCTGAATGAAGCCGTCATGCTTGCGTGGATGTTTCCATTGTTTCTTCCAGAAGTTTTCATTTCGCAAACCTGCGCTCGGAGCGTCGTCTTATTAGCGACATCGCCAACAAATGCTCAGATCTCATCCTCGTTTAAGCGGGAGCACATAAGCGCTCGCGGACCTTAGGCTTAGTTAGGGTAGTGATCTGAAAAAATTTATACAAAAGTCTTACAATAGAAAAAAAAATGCGTTTTTTCTGTAATATTATCGCCGATATCGGAACACTTACTCGCGTATTACGAAATGTTAGAAATCGAGATCCTTCATCCGATTCAGATGATTGCACGACGCTGTGTTTGATATGCGGCTCACCACAAGTAACCTAGATCGCGCGCTAGTTTCGTGGAGAATCGAAGTCAGAAAGGAAACGCGAGTAACAAACTATCGATTATGCGAGCGATATGAATTTTAAATCCCGTCTCGTTGTTCTCCTCGCGGCCGGCATATTAATCAATGACGGAATATGCCTGTCTCGCCATATTAATCGCTGAGTTCGCGAACGGTGCTACTAACCCCCTCCTTCCTCTCTCTCGTACTCGTTGGCGCACAACGTAATTCACACCGGGCTTACCGCACTTATCATAAATTAATCGCGAGCTTGACGAAAAACCCGGAAGCGTTCGTGGGAGCACGATTAGCTCTCTCTTATGAAATACGATCCTCGAGTTGCGGCCAAGAGCGCACCTACTCCTGGTCGGTGTCGTCTTTCGCTCGCTCTCACAGCCGCTAACACGAGACGACTGTGTGGCGTAATTGAGTTGGGCAAAAGTTTTCAGTTGAATTGGCGGCGAGTAGGCAGCAGTTTGCTAATCTACGGTATCTAGTATAGCTCGTAGGTAGTTGTCGCCCCGTTCGCGCGAATTAGCGGTGTCGATCACAGTCGAACTTGTGGTCGCTTAATTGCAAAGTTTCTTTTACTTTTTTTCTATTTCTTTCTCTTTCTTTGTTGCTTAATTTTTAGCTGCTCTCTAGTAAGAGCGCGACGCCGATCGACAGCCATCAGCCGCAAAACACTTTGTGTCACATCACGTCCTTTCGTCAAATTACGAATTAGCGCACATCTCGGAGAGCCGTGCGCAAAAAAGATTCCCGCGAATGCGCTTAACCAATCACAGAACCCCGCTTACAGCCTCTCGCCGATCTTAAAGACGAACGTGTACTGTCTTGCTCTATCTCGAAATTCCACCGTCCTTGTATCCTATCGCGCAGTCTCGTTCTCCTCACACAGCTTTTTCTTTTCTCAATCCGAGCGATTTCTCGTAAACTTCACATTACAATACGAACTTATTACAATCGCTACGATTGGAACAAAAAGATCAATCGTCAACCGAGCGATCTTCACGGATGCGAATTTCCTTGGCTTTCGCAAAAAAACGGAACGGAATATTTTCCTTGCTCCTTTTTTTTTTCTCGAAACAAGCGACACGTTCGAACGTCGCTGCGCGCACTCGTTCGGTGTTCTGTCACGCGTATCCTCTACCATGCACTTTTGTGTTCGCTCTCACGAGAGGATATCCCCCACCTGGGCCACGAGGTCGTCGGCTGGCATCGACGTCCTTCAGCGCTCTCTTCTCATCGCCGATCAATCAATCTCCGTGCCGACGGAGCCTCGACGATGACGAGCATCCGCACAAGCCGATTCGGTCGGGATCGACCGTTGCTGGAGCGTACGCGGAACGACACAAGCGCACGAGGATGGCTCCATCACCGGAGCACCTCATTCTTCGCTCAACCTCGGGGAAAACGGCCTTCGACAGTTCGTGATGTGCTCTGGATGAACCGATCCGCGAACCGCGCGCCAGCACCCAAATCCTGGCCGGGTGCTCTCTAATATCGTGTTCGTTCACTCTCCTTCTGTCTTTTGACGATCGGCCGCGGAGAGCCGCAGATTTGCCGCAGCGGCCACCGACACGACAGATCTGTATCCACGTATCTGTCTCTCTCACGCGCGCGGCGCTCTCTCCTCTGCCTCCTTTCGTCTTCCCTTCCCCATGTTCGCCCTTTTCTCCCACTTCCTCCGTTTCCTCTGCCTCTCTCTTCCGCTCAGCGCGCTTCTCCGCGTTCACCCCTTCCGGTCTCCTAGTCGCACAGTCGTTTGCGGGCAGCACCGTCGAAGTCTGGGTGGCGGTTCAATGAGAGTAATATCTTCCCCCATCTACCTGTAGCCTCTTTCTCGCTCGCTCGTTCAGCATTCTTCGAGTTTCTTCTTCGGCGCAACTTGCTCTCTCGCAAGATAGGGATTACAACGAAAGAGTTACTCAGTGGAGTCGGTCATGGCAAGGACATGACGAGACGACTGGAGCGCGGCAACGCGGAGTCTGCTAGAAGCTGATGATAGAGCTGGTGCACGCGCAGCTTCGCCAAAGGAAAATCGATTTTCTCTCTCCAAACAGTCGCGAAACGTTAAAGCTATGTCGTTTGATGATCGAGTTGGGATTAACTAGCCGCGCGGCGGATTCTACGTTATCGACCACGCACACTTCCGATAGCCACCTCCGGAATTGCAAACTTCAACTTTGGTCTGACCTATCAGCGGCATCGCTACTTTGCTGACAGCTTTGTAACGATATCACAGCGTAACAGCTCGCGATGGATAGCTATTGTTTGAGTAATAAAGTCCATAAAGGAGACTGTAAAGAGTATCGGAGATAGGGAGACGGATAAACTCTCTTAATTAGCGATGTATGTAGAATTAGATACAGGAAATTAAAAAAAGATTTTCTGTAATTTCAAGTTTTTCTGACAAATATCGCAACGTTTGACAAGTGGCCATTGTTTATATAAATGACGAATTTCGATGACGAGGAAAGGGAAAATCGATTTAGGATATGAGAGAATGGCGGGAGGAAAAATGGAGCAAACCCACCGAAAAGCGTGTGGTGTTCTGCGTTTTCAAGCTTTTATTACAAGAATATAGTATAAACTTTCGCTTGATAGCGCGCTTTGTCGCGCGGAAATTTTTATACATATAATTGCATCTCTTAACCCCTCGCGCAGGCCACGATAGTCATAGCTTTTTTTTCGATAGTTTACCAATATATATATATATATATATATTAATAGATCTTATACGATTAGCTTATCTCATCTAACTTGTGATCTATAGGTATATCTGGGTTTTTTTTTCTTCTGGTTTAACTGGAAACATACTTGGCAATTCACGTCTAAGAAGTACAACAAAGCATTTTTTTTTTCATGACCTCAGCGCCGACGTGGGCGCTGCTGGTCACTTTCTCCGCGCATTCTATTTGCTGTAATTGTTTTTTTTTTTTTTTTTTGTGACCCGGCATCACCCGCCCATAATTGATATGTCAATTTTTTTCCTTACAGCGAAAAGTTCCAGCTCATTCCGGGAAAAAGCGTAGTTACTGCGAACGTTGACCTCACGGCAGAACTGGGTATTATTTCCAGCTATTGGCTGAAAAGGTAGACAACGGAAGAATTTAATGCAATCGGGAAGTCTGTTAGAAGTCTTTTAAATATATATTTCTTCATATATAGTGTAAAAGCTTAGAGAAATCTTCTTTGTGAAGACATCACATAGCTAGTTGTCACTGTGCGTGTCAAAATTTTCTATAATACCTTTATAATATATGTCCCTGTTCATCGTCGGACAATTCTTCGGACCCTAAACATGTACGATAATTAAATTAGCACGATCATTCTCTTTGTAATTTGGAATAAACTTGTTGCTTGCACTATTGCGGCATACCTGAACATTGAAGTCAATGTTCGTCCGAACAGGACGATGATGAAGGGGTTGCGGTGGTCTAAAGTTGTTTGCAAGCGGTGCGCTTGGCTGTTTTTCGTCTCCTTGCATTAATTGCCTCAGAGCGTGCAGCTACAATAATTACGAAAATATAAGATTATAATAATTGTTATTTTACTTTAATATAGACTTAAGAACAGTTTTAATTCAATTATTAGTTTTATTACTTTTAATGTATTTTTTATTATTTGTAATGTATTTTTCCTACACTTTTATAGAGATTAGATTGACTATACTATCACATGCAAAAGTTATTTAAAATTGGATTCATCTTTGATTCTCTCTCTGTGTTACTACATATAGTACGGGGTGAGTGATATTATCACATCGGTGAATACGATCGATATCAGTAATAATAACATTTGCAATTCCAATGTGACGGCTAATTTAAATACATGATCGATTATCACAAATGTTATTACATGAGAGCATAAAGTTACTCAACTTATTCATTAAAAACACATTTATCTATTATGCGGCGTGTGCTGTTATAAGATTCCTTAATGAAACTTAGATCTATTAATAAAGCTGTTTATTTTATTATTTTAAAAGTATTTTTTTTGTCTGTATAACACGAATATATACAGTGTGTGAATATAAAGTGTATGTGTGTATATGAATACATATAAAATATATGACAGTGTTTATGATTATATAAAGTATATATGTGTATATGTTAAAAATTAATTTATTATAAATTTAAAGATTATATGTTTGTGCAAATATTTATACAGTATTGCATCTGCAGAATTTGTTTACTTTAAAACTAACATATGATCTATTTTCTTTAATGTTTTTTTCTTCAATTTTATCATCTAAAGAAACAAATTACAATTAAAACGACACAATGTTGCTCTAAATCACGAAAAAATGTCTTATTTTTTTACTTTGCAATAATTTAATTACGCGAAGTATTTGTGAAGTACGGTGAATGTTCTTCGATATTTCGAAGATTCTCCTTAATGATCGGAATTGTTTAATTGGGCACTTCGCCTCTTCGAGCATGCTTCGCGTCGCGCGCGCGAACGCTCGAGTGCGGGGGCGTGTGCATGCATTTTAAAAGCAATCGGGGAACGGCGACGATACTTGCCTGCTGCTTGGTGATGTATATGGGCTTGTTGAGGATGATCCATGTGGTGGTCTCGTGACACGCCGGCATCGTGGTGGAGCCGTCGTACGTCATGTAATGCTTCGTGTCCGGCAGAAGTTCGCGCACCCCGAAACGTTTAATTTCCATAGCTTGGCCTGTGCAATTCATACGGTCGATAACGTCAACTTTGTTCATCTATGTGCTCCTATACCTGTATTGCTCGATTACTACCGACACGGCCATCGTACACACTCGATACAGACACCCGCTACATGTATCACTAAGGTTATCGTGCATACCGCTCGATCATATTTGCATACGTCAGGGAACATTCGTGTCCCGTTAAAGAATGATGGTAATTATCGATTTATCTTTCCTAGTAAAAAGTTGGCGACAATACCTTGCAAAACTTTCGTAGAAAGTTATAATGCATGCTACTATTAAACTTTCGAAGGTACATCAATCTTACCGCTTTTTGTTTTTTTTAGGGGGGAGTTTTTTTTTTTATTCACAAACCAAATTTCTCTGCCTCAACAAGATGCAAATCTATTTTTATCACAATTATTTGTTTATGGAACAACTCCGAGTTTATAAAACAACTATTTTGGTGAGATGTTATTTGGATCAAGTTATAAAAACGTCAAACGACATTCTTCTATTATTGTGCTTTTTTTTTTTAAAGAAATATTATAAAAAACAATTTATCGATTTTTTATTTTAATCTTGTCTGATATTGATATTTGAATTCGCGCATGGAAATTCGCAAGCTATACAACGAAATTATCCTTGAATTGATTACGACTTCTCCGCGGTATTATTGTGTTTCGGAATAGACATAGCTCGTTACGTTATTGGATTTCTCACCTCCGTATTTGATTTTATCCAGCTGCTGCGTGAACGTTCTCAGCTCTGGGTTCGAGAGGTCGCCCACCTAAAAGAGAGAAAGCGTCTCTGTCGTATCGCTTATTCCGATCTTTATACGCCGCGTGATAAGGGTTCGCGAAAGAGATTAGGCATGTACCTGCAAAAGAAGCGACACCGCCACGATTCCTTGCGCTCTATGCAGCGCGTCCGAGAAGTTGTTATAAAGCTGCGAGTTGAAGCCGAATATCTGCAACTGCGAAAATAAAACATGGTTTTTAATACAGAAAGAGAATTTTATTTAAAGAGAGAAACTTCGGAGAAAAATATTTTACAAGATACAAACACAAAACTATTTTGTTTTAATAAAACTAACTAAATATTTTTATTTTTAATATGAAATTTTTTACGAAAAAACTCAGCAAAGAGTGTAATTCAAAACTCGTTTATTAAAAAATCTAAAACCGTATACGCATAAATCTATTAAATAATATATGTTTCGTATTTGTTATCATTTTAATTGTACCTCGGCGGGGAAAGGGTGTCCGTCAACGGTATGTTCGCTGCCTACGCGATCGTCTAAGCCAAAATGGAGATGAATTTCGTGAAACTGATAACGATAACTGAGCGGACCACCGGAGATATTAACGGGATGACGGGTGTCGTTCTCTACGGCGAACACAACGCTGTGCCCGGTGTTCGCCAACACGCCATTGATTCTGTGCTTGTCCAGATGAAGCGGTTGTAAATTCGGGTCGAAAAGCAGTCGAGAGGGTTCGAGATTGACCGGTGATTGTCTTCGACCTTTGTTACAGAGCCACCATTCCGGGTTGATAAGGCCCCAGAAGGCAGGACCTTTGAATACAATTTTGGTTTTTGTTTTTTTTTTTTTTTTAACAAAAGTATTAGATTTTTACATTTAGAAAAGAATAATATCGTTATGAAACGCGCAATTGATCTTGTATCTATGACTAATTTGGATATCTTACCGGAAATACCATCGTACGTCCACCATTCTTCCCAGCTGACTGGTGTCGATTCTGCAAACGTTTCGTTATTAACGAGCAACATAATCTGCGCGAGACGTCCAATAATTCAGCGCTGCTTTACGAGCATTGGATAAATTATTGTTGCGTGCCGAACAAAAGGCTCTTTGTGCAAATCAAATAGCACTAGGTAAATGTGTCAGACTTCTTAATCACTTTTAATCAATGTATTATCGGATTACGAATTATTAGAGTTCGGAACTTTTGGTGGTCAAACGTTTTGTACAAATATTTGACAGTATACAGTTTCAACATGTATAGAGATATGTTAGAAGAAAAATAATTTATTTCAAAGTTATATGTACAGAAATTAAGCTTCTGTGTACATATATGCGGAAAAAATATAGTTTTATATTTCATGTCTAAAATATGATTGATATAATATAAAAAAAAAATAATTCTAAGATTCAACCAGTATTAACAATAATCGTTAAGAGTAATCTCGGCTTTCCATCCATACTTTTTTGATGTGAAATTTAATGAAAATATTCCAAGTGATATAAAATATTAATTTAATTATTAATTTAAATCTTTAAAAGGATTTTTACCCATAAAAACACTTGCTACAAAAAAAATATGTTGTAGAGAACATAGTTGTATTTTTAACAAAAAGTGAGAAGAATATTTAGGCTACACATTTTTATTGCATTTTGAGGATTAACTTAAATTTAATATAGGTTTATATTTTAAAATTAATGAGAGTGTGATGAATGAAATTATTCTAAAATTATATCACACGTTGTATTTTATGTCCCCATCGTTCATATCTTGCGGAACGACAAATAAAGATCATGCGCTCCTGATGACGATTGTGCTCAAAGTTATTGAGTGTAAAGTTATATGTTTTTTTTATAGCTATACTTCGTATTAGCAAATTTTGATATTATACATCTCTTAAATCTTGCTATCGGCAAAAATTCATTTAGAGATATTTATTTTTAACATTTTTATTAAATTTCACAAAAAAAAATTCGATGGTTTTCGAAAGTTTATCCGTAATCTTTATAAAGCGATAAAGTGAATCGTGAGAATATCAAGACTTTTCTATAGATCACGTGCTGAGAAAGATTTGAAACGTGATAGCCTGATGCTATTGAGAAGATACATACCCTGTATCAAAGTGACAACAAACACTCCCCAGACACCGAGGAAGACGGAACTGAAGGGAGCCATTCCTGCTGTGCGGTCTTTGTCAATTGGACATCATTCGCCTCGTTTCTGCGACACAGAGAGAAGGAGAACCAGTTGATTCTCGGGCTGGGCTCGAGTGTGCTCGCGTGTCGCGCACCCTCTCACGTGCCCCTTGGAGGCCCGCGGAGGTCGCGACTTTCGCCCTCTCGGGCAACTTGAACCACCCACGAGAAACCAGACGAGACCGGCAAGTTTCGAGCGAGGAAAACTCGCGATAACGTAATTGATCCGTCAAATGCGCCGCCTATCCCCCCCCCAAAAAAAAAAATCCGCGAACCGCCGTCGTCGGCTGCTAATCTAATAGCTCGATGTCACGCGACTCGACGAACATCGACGCCGAATTTACATCCGCCGCTCGTTCCGCACGAGAGGGTTATCGCGACGGCACTTCTCAAGCGGCACAATAACGTTTGTAAGAGACTCTCGCGCGTAAAAGAATTCTCGCGTATCTGTTCGTCGTCACGAGTCCGAGATCAGATTGATTGTTTTGTCTTCTGTCGGCAAGAAGGAAGAGAAAACCGTGCTGTCATTTCTTCCGGATATTCACGGTAGACGCGAACAACAAGAGAATGCAACTCCGAGCGGATACAAGCAAGAAAGAGGAGACAAAATCCGCAGTCATCGTTGTCTGGCGCCGCTTAAACGGGGGCGGGGTTCCTTCCTCATTCGATCCCCACTCTGGTCCATTCTGGAGTCCACTCTCTACCCCGGTTCCTCACTCGAACCTGCTGTATTCTTAGGTCAGAGAGAACTCAAGTGCGCGGCTCGCTTCGATCGATCGATCGGATCTTCACATGCTCGTTCACGCGAGGAAGAAGAGTGTGTCGAGTCCCGCCGGAGAGAGTACGTGCTCTCCGCGCTCGTGAATTTCAAAGGGTAGCCACTCTTCGTCGCCGCGCTAGTCTCTCTCTCTCTCTCTTTCTCTTCCCTGCCTTGAGTTCGTCGATGTGTCTTCAAGGTAGATACTTTTATCGCACGCCGGAACTCGCGCTGAAATATCTCGAACCCTCGCGCCATCGATCGTGCTTCGCACGTAGCCACTTCATCCTGCTTTAGTCGCCTATCGACCGATACAAACGGACTTTCTCCCAAAACGGCGGAAGTTTGTCTCTCTTCGTCGAGGTCTCGTATTTCGAGAAAAAATCGTGGGTCATGAACGCGATGAAAATAGCGCCCGATAAGATAGTGAATTAATAAAGACCGAAATTGACGAATAAACTGACTTTTTCCTCAAGATTAAATAATATCCTAGATGTATAAACACTGAAAGAGAAACTAATCTGATTCAAGATAACTTTCTTTTTCCTTCTCTCTCTCCCTTCTTCTCTCTCTCTCTCTCTCTCTCTCTCTCTCTCTTTTCTTAATCGATAAAATCCATCTTCTCATTCTATTGCATTATTGATGTCTTGTTATTTTATATCGTTTTTTTTTTTAGTCTAACGTAAAGAACCAAACATTTAAACGTTTTGCAATCGTAAATGAGACAAATTTGATACATTTTTTAAGATCGTGTCGTATCTAAAAAAAAACAATAAAAAAATGATAGCATTTATGTTAAAGTAGATTTTGTTACTCAAATGTGTTAATATATTTATAGCGAAAACATAATACGTGATATAAATAACAAACTGTGCTTTTAACAAGAAATTATAAATGCTTTGCTGTGTTCCATTTGCAATAATATATAAACTGCGCACTTATGTATGAATAGAATTATAAAAGAAAAATGATAAATATATAAACTTTTTACGCATATCATGTAAATACGTATCATAAAATATGTAATTATCAAAGTAATTGAAAGAACATAGCTTAATTAGTCACGTTACTTATGCCAAAAAATTTTTTTATCCCATTATTATTTTAATCGTACTTACTGTTCCGATTTTGTCAGATCCGTTTTAATGAAGCGGCAATCAATCTCGAAGATCGATTTGACATTTAAACGAAAAATTCACAGATAGTCTTGGTTCGCCAGGTATTTTCGGAGTGCAAACATTCGGCTCTTGTTGCTTCGCGTTTCCAAGCCGAGATAGTGGCTAAACTCAAATTGTTATCGCCGCTAATCGATTAATCGAACGATGTACCCACTGCTGGCGGGTTTATCCCGAGCAACAAACATTCCGTCCGCGCGTTCCGAATTTCGACAATGCGATTCTAATGACCGACGTGTGTGTTTCGTCCACGCACGCACGAGCCACGTTGCTTCTTTTTTTTGCAAACCGTCATCGTTTTCTATATTATTTCGTCTTTTTCTTTCTTTCGCACGATCGCCTTCTGCCTCGATTCCTTCGATTATTTTCGTTCTGGCATAATGATTCCTTGGTATCCCAATCGGCGTCCACCTGATATCTCACTTTTTCGCATTCCGATTTTCTACTCCGTCAGATTTACTTTTCTACTTTAGCGCTACTTATACACCTACTTACACCTTCTCGTGTCTTCAATTTTTCCTGATTTCTTCATACCTGGATCGCCGTGCTTATCATATCCTCTCCGCGACGAAGACACATTCTGACGTTATCCTGTTGAAGGTGACTAAATCGATCCTGCCGGGGCCTTCGGCACACTTGACGCGAAAGAGGCTACGGATCGCGGATGATCAAGAGGCAGTGGAAAAGAGATACGGAAAAGAAAAAGAGAGAAAAAAGAGAAGGAAAGAAAAAGAGAAAGAGAAAAAGAGATAAAGAGAGAGAAAGAGACAGAGAAAGAGAGAGAGAGAGGAAGAGAGAATAGGTACACGCAGGTGCGACGGGGGCAGGAGCGCGCGAATCGATCGCGAGGCCGCGATGCGAAACACCGCGACGCGGCGACGAGCGAGCGGAGCGGCCGAAAATTCGCGTGACGGGAACGCGAAACAGGAACGCGCGCGACGTCTCTCCTGCGGAAATCAATAAGCGGTGATCTCGCAGAGCGTGCTTTTACTTCACGTTTCAACGCTTTTCCTTCCGTTGCTTTCCTTTCCGCGTTCGACGAGTCGACTACGCGCGCGAGCCGGCGATTTCGATCCCCAGCAAGCTCCCCCTCTTTCGCGCAAACTATCCTTCGATTCTCCCCTTCAGCACTACGGGATACTGACCGTGGTCGACGAAGAGAACGACGTCTTTCTTTTTCTCCTCCTCCTCCTCCTCCGCCGGCGCACCACCTCTTCCACCGCTTGTGCCGTCGACCACGACGACGCGACTCTTCGAGGACGATGCCGCCGGAGGACGATGCCTCCGAGCGCGTCGTGACAGGTTCGCGGAACACCGAGAGTTTTCTACGAGTTTTTTCTGTCTTTCTGTAATCCGCCTATTGCCGCTTCCTCGTCCTATACTACTAGTCTTCTTCCTCGTTTGCTTCTTTCTTTCCGATCACGGAATAATTTCGTTAAAAGCGCACAGCGGCGAAGGAACGACGAAGGAGAAACGACTGCCCTACGAGGCGATGTATACGTCCCTCCTCGCGCGTTCACCCTCTTCTCCCTTCTCGCTCTATGTTCTTCTCTGTCTCTCGTATCAGCTTCGTAGTCTCTTACCCTCGACGTACCGCGGCGCACGCGCCAGGTGTATCCTTTCTCTCTACTCTCCGCGTGCGCGCTCCGTTCTCTTCGTCCTCTCTGTCTGTTCTTCTTCTTCTTTCTCTCGCACACACACTCACACACTCACACACATACTCTCTCTCTTTCTCTCTCTCTCTCTCTCGCTCTCTTTTCTCTTTCTCTTCTCTTCTCGCGATCTATTTCGTATTCGTTCTTCCTGCGTCCCGTTCTGTTCACTCGCTACGCTCGTTCGGTCGCCACATCGGCGCGTTCGGACACACAGGGGATACTCACCGCTCGCGCTCGCGGTCATCGTCATCTACATCGGGACGTCTGCGCGTTTCGCGCAGGGACTCAGGAGAAGAGAGAAATGCAGGACATGCTCTTCCGCTGCCTCTCTTTCGACACACGGAGGTTCCCGCGAGAGACGGCTCGAGTTACGGGGAATTGACCCATTTGTCTCGAAGGGGTGGCTCGCGTTCCTTCCTTCGGCAGGGCGAGCCCGCTCCTGCGAGAAGCGAAGTCGTAAGCCGGATAAGGGCACGATGTCGTAAGAGCGCGACCTCGAAGCGGCTCTCAGCAATTTCCCTTCTCTTTGTATGCAAGCGACTGCGCTCGATCGCACACAAAGCGGAGAGGGATCGAGGGTCGGAAAATCTTGAAGCGTATCACACCCCGCTTCGCCCTTCTACACCTCTTCCCCGTCACTACCGCCATCGGACTCGCGTTTCTTTTCTTCTCGGGACTTACCGCGCGTAACCAGAGCGCGCTATTATATCGGCCGTTCGGTCGGTCGATCTCGGGGTTGCTCCCGCTTTCCGGAGAAGTATGCCAGGAATTTATAGAATCCATCGACGATATCGGCCAACTGATCCCGTCGCGCGTCTCGGTATTTCTTGGACTACCACAGACGCGCATATACGACTTCCAACGGATATTTCACATAATTATCGAAATGAGATTTATCGACGTCGATTTATTAATTTGGATCGTTAACGTGCTTTCGCACGATATCGTAAACGACCCGTCAGCAGCAACCAGATCGTGTTGCGCGTAAATACATAATAAGTAATAACAAAAAAACTGTAAAAATATATCCTTATGCAATACATGCGCTGATATGTTGCATATATGTACGTGTACATAATTTATATATAAAGTACATATTTAATGGTTTTTTTAGTTTAATTATTATATAGTCCTTTGTAATATATAGAACAATCAACTTCATAGTTATATAATATTATTGTGTACAGATATATAATATTATTGTGTAAATATTCCACATAATACATAATACATTATTAATAAACATGCGGAGAGTGTAATAATTATTAACTTATATAGCACATCACAGATTATTTAGACGGTTCACAAATACCTTATAATCTATCAGTTTACAAAAAGTTATACATTTTTCTCAGATAAATTTGAATTTTATTGAAATCTTTCGTCTTCTACATTCCATGTAGAAAACGCGTGTATGTAGATATTCAAAATGAATCTTATATTTAATACCACGTTCTTCAAGTAACGGCTGCGCAAAAATCTCGCTATTCGTATTTTCGCTGGTTTATCTCTTCGTGTTTTTTCCAAAGGCAAGAATCCAGGCGGTATCGGCGCGTGCTAATCCTGTCACCGACATCTCCCGCGGAACTTTACGGCGGCGACTTCCAACTTCGTCTTACTCTCTTATCGAAGGGGAAGTATATCGATAGACACATCGAGGCGAAATTACGTTCGAGGATCCTCTGGCGTTGGCGTTTCGAGGTCACCGGGCGCCCCCGCCAGGATCTCCGAGCACGAGTATACCGAAAAGCTCTGACTGGTCGACTCTACGCGGAGGCGCTTATCGATTTTCAAAGAGTTGCCCCGCGACCGCCGCTCTCTACCAGGTTGTCGTCGCCGACGTCGTGGTGGTCGTCGTCGTCGTCGTCGCCGTGATCTTCGTAGTAAGACAGCTACACAGAAGACAGAGATAGAAAAAGAAAGAGAGAAAGAGAGCGAGAGAGAGAAAGAGAGGTTTTGGACGAGCGACATGGTCGACGCTCTCGAATGTCCGGATGCACTCTCCGGCTGCATCTGATTGCTGTTGCAATGCGCGTCGGTAGATATTGGATTCACCGCGAGACTTATGGGCGAGCTTCGCTCGTGTCGGCACGTTCCAGAACAGCGAGCGACGACGATTATGGGTTATCGATATTGCGGACTTAGCTCGTGGCGCGCAGCCTCATGGATATGCAAAAATGTAAAAGCGTTTTCCCAGAGACAACGGGGCGGGAGTGTTTGAACGGTGATCGTGTCGCCCTGACGTGTGCAAACACTAGTTTGCCTCTTTCTGGAACACGCCAAGTGGCACCCCTCCGAAAGCCTATGGCCACTGGACAAATTCAGGGCGGTGTTTTTGGTCGATGTCCGATAGTCTGACGACGAGAGAGGCGGGATAAAAACAGGGAAGGTAAAGACGAGAGGAAAATTTATGAAATTCCCCGACTATCAGAGCGGGAGAAACAAATATTGGAACGAAGCAAATTGCGGAAGTATTTTAATGGATATATGTACATTTGCATATAATTGTATCTTTCGTAAATAAAAAAATTTTACATATAATTACATCCCCGTTATCGCAAAATGGAAAAAGTGTAATTACAGACAACAATCTATATAAATTGTTAATAATAATAATTTAAAAAATGCTTCTGTAAACTTGACTAACATACAAGTTAGGATCTAACTAACACGGGAATGTTCTGCTTGTAACAAGCTAACGGTTCATCTTGGCGAAAATGTATAGAGGCAACTAGCCGTGTCACGTGACATTATGTTCTGTCAAAACTTCGGGCAGCTTTAGAGGCGTTATTAACGTCTACAACGTTTCCGTATCATATATTTTACGAGCGTCCTCCTCGAAATGGCACTGTATATATCTGATTACTCAAGTCGAAAATACAAGTTTAAATTGGTGATTACGTAGCAAATTTTGGAAGTTAAATTAGGCAATTCATGCATTCGTGTGTTTTCCCACTGAAGGGACGGTAAATATCTCGGAGTGCTCTCGACTCTTTAAACGATCGTTTGAGCGCGTAATTTGCCGTAATTGATGTTTTAAGCACGACGCGCGGTTTATGAATATTAATTTAACGTATTATTATTAGCTTTGATGATCTAATTATTACCAGTTTTCGATATCGCACTTACTACACACAGCCACGCAGCATAAATGACAAACGCAAATCTCATTGATGAAACAGAAAACGCGAGATTGAAATAGAAAAAACAACAACACAGCGTAAAATAATCCCTGTTATTATTAGTTTTTGTCGTAAAAAAAATTCACATAAATTTTTTCGATATAATAATATTTTACCTATATGTACTATAAGTGTACTATTTTTCTATATATATATCTTGCAAAAAAAAATAACCAATCTATGTTTTTGACAGAAACACGAACAACTTTTTTTCCTATTTTTAAATCACAGAATGACGTTGCTGTTCTCATTCTATCTACATTTACCGAAATGGCCGGCCGTTAATCGAAGTCATGGGTAATGTCCGGAAAATTACTCAGACATCCGAATAAGACTCGAAACACCTTGATATTTGCTTGTAAACGTTAATACTCTCGGATATTCGCGGAGAATTCCAGAGTAGTTTTGTAAAGAAGAAATCACTACTGTCTATTTCAATATATGTGTACAGATAGTCTGCAGATTTAATTCGATTTATTTTTCAGTTAATTTTTTTAATTACCTTGTTTTATGAAATAATTCTTTTTTTTTTCATTATCCGTAATAGACGTCCAAACGCAGCAATAACTAGTTGCAGCTGCAACGAAAAAAAAAAAAACGTAACAGTTGCTTGAAGTAACTTCTTTGCGAGCAGCAACGATGAGACATTCCTTTCAGAAGTCGAATACAGGAGCGTCGCAAAAATCCAATAAAAACGGTGCTCGTAAAGCGATGCCAAGGCAAAGAAAGAATTACCATACCGACAAGAATAATGTATGCCGTAATGGCATGATGGCATATCTTCGCGTCACATTCTTAGAATGTAGAATAAGAATCGAGTTTTTCCGACAGCGATCACAATAATACTAAGTTGTTACTTAAATGTCCTTTAATTTTCTTTATGCACTAGCACAATACAGGCGCGCGCTACGCGCTCGCTATTGTTATTTTTATTTTAACGTGTTGTGTAAGTTAACACAATCTGTCACCGCGATGACTAGTATATACGTCT